GTAAGAGCAATGTGTCACAGTCGGTGAGAAGAAGGACAAAAAGAGTGTGCATGTGTGTTCTTGTGTCTGTGTGGATGATCAAAGTGCACAAACGTGTGAGAGAAAGAGTCACTTGCATAGCGGTTTTTTTTTTTTTATACTTTTCATATGAGCATGTGTGTGTTTGAGTGATCAAAGCACATGTGTGTGCAAAGGCTGACACCTGAGCTTAGAGCATCACCACTGGGGGATTGTGGGTAGATCAAGACGAGACCTCGAGACCTCAAGGTTTCGATGCAGCAGCACAACAGAAATCAATTCAAAAAATATCAATCAGTGTCAGAGGATCAGGAGCAGAGGAGAGAAAGAGGGTGATTACTCTGCTGCTTTAGGAAACAAGAAGTAAGTAGGAGGGGATGAGAGTCAGAAGGAGGAGGATGAATGGGTGGGAGTACAACTGGAGTAGGAACCAAATCAGTCTTGCTATATTTTTCACTCCAGGCATGTAAATAGGCTTTTGCTGAGTAACCAACATTACCAAGAATACAGGCTCAGCCTTAATGCCCACACACATGCTTTATATACTTTGACATGTGTTGCAGATAAGTCTGCAGCAGCAGCTCAGTGCTGTCCCACTGTGAAATTGGAAAGTGCCTCTGGGTTCTGTGGTGGACCTTCTGAGCCCTTTATGCACAGTTTGTACAAGACTGAAATGCTTGAGATTTTGCCTGAGGGAGTTACCCTCCAGGGGAGGTCCAAAATGGTCCAAATAATCAAGCTAATAACACTAAGCTATCAGCGACTAAAGTTTAGATCATTTTAATATTTTCAAAACATGAGCGACAGTCAAAAAAAGCTGAAAAAAAATTGTAAATCACATTTTAGTGGCCGCAGACAGGTCTGCGACCTCGGGAACAGATTAATTCACAGCGCTCTCCCATTCCTCAAACAACATTTTCAACCTTTGCACCCTCCTGCTCTCACATTTTCAACAAGCACAGAGGTGATGATAATTAAAGTCTGTTAGAGATCACAGTTGATGGCGTGGGTGGACTCTGGGACGGGGTCACAGAGGTGCACACAGTGGCAACCATAACAAGACAAGACGAGTAGAGGCCAGATGAGGTGAGAAGTCAACTGGGGGGGGGGTGTTGACAGATGTGTTTGCTGCTGCTGTTTTTTTACACGCACACCACCCACATACACATCCATACACACTTTATTCATTGACCTCTAACCTGTTGCATAGATGTCAGAACATCAGGTTTTGAACTCTGTTGGTGGTGCTGAGGATGGACCACGCTACGGTTTGGTCTCCTTCTCTGGGTCATGCGGCAGGAGAAGGGATTGATACGGGTTTGTTTTTTTATTGCAGCGCTCTAGCACTGAAATTCCATGCTGTGCTCTCGCTCAGCACCATATAAATTCATTCTCTTAACTTTTTATCCTGCTGTGTTGTTGTGAAGAGGAAGAAGCTAATCTGAGGAGCTGGGTGCCGCAGAAGTGCCATTTCAGTTACACAAATCCTCTGCTGCATTACAGTGCACGTCTTGATTGTTTCACAGCTTATTAATGTGATCAGGTGATAAGAAGTGCTGCTGCATAGTGTCCCTGAATGGGTTTTTCTGCATCATCCACAAACTGCCAGCATAATCATTACAGAGACATATTTTTAAAATAAAAATGAATTATATTAATTTAATTTGATAGATATAACTTTATTTATCAGTGTTGTGAAGTAGATTTACTTTGTTAGTATACTTGAATGGATTTTTACCGACCTGTACTTACGTCGATTTATTTTCAGATACGTTTTACTTACTCTACAACATAATGCATTGTGTTACATGTTCACATTGTTTTATTTCTCTTAGGAGGTTATGTCTTCATCTGTGTATGTTTGTTTGTTAGCAGCATTACACAAAAACTACTGGATGATTTATAACAAACATTGGTGGAAGGATGTGGAATAGGTCAGGAAAGAACTCAATTAACTTTGTTATGGACCCAGATCAGGGGCAGATCCAGTATTTATTTCTTTTTTTCACTTTCTTTAACATCGCAAGGCTATTTTTGATTTTCCAGGGAATAATTAATGGACCTTGATTAAAAAAATCAGGTTATAAATAAATACAAATATGGATCTATTAAATTTAAATGTGGACTGTTGGGCCTTGGCAGAGATAAGAGCTCTACTGAGTGAGATTCTAGTTTTTAATGGTAATCAATACCATATAGGGTCCACATCAGATCAGACAGATAACATTAGAACCTGCCTCCTTCAACGACAAAATTTGAAAACACTCACATGCACAAGTGAGACATTGAGCATCTAAATCTCTTTACTTGACAATAACCATGTTGCTTTTCAGCGATGACACTGCATGTGTGTTTTGTTCACCTGGACCTGACAGGAACACGGCCAGAAGGAACCAAATTAAAGAACCTGTTAATCTACCTTTTTAGATTCATGTTGAGAAAAATATGAATTTATATCGTTCATGTTTTTTGTGTTCTTGAGGTGAAGTTTTTCCCTTTATCATGGGCCAGATCATATTATTATCAGTTATGTAAGAGGTTCCTCACCTTTGCCCTAACTACTTCCTGTCAAACCCTCACCCCATATCCTAACCACTGACCCAATTATTGTATTTTTATCCCTGTGGGGGACATGAGTTTTGTCTCCAACTGGACAAATTTTTTCCCAATTAGCTGGTCGGTGTAAATTTGTCTCCAAAGTGGCTAAACTCAAACACACACACACACACACACACACAC